TCTCAGCAACGACGACATCAGCACCGTGATTCCTGCAAACATCAACGATGGCCAGTCGCGGCCGCTGCTTGCCCCCATCGCCGACCATCCCTCCTACGTTGTCCTCGGTGTTGGTTACGCCAACTACACCTGCCTTCCTAACAGCACATGGCTGTGAGCTTTCATGCACGACTCTCATCTTGACTCTCGCCTGACAGTTATCTTACAGTGCGATCGGCGGGCTGCTCGAGCTCTTCGACCTTTCCTGCACCTCTATCGACCAGCGCGAGTCGTACACGGCGTCTGTGCAGCAGCAGTGGCTCGCCGCGCCAGCGGACTACACCGCGCTGGACCTGATCGAGGACTCGGAGACGGAGTACAAGCCGTACTCTGTTGGCCAGCACTACTGGGTGCCGGACCCGCTCGACCCGTCGGATGGCACGTTCAACCCGAAGTGGGACTTTGGCTCGCGGGTGTGGAACGACGCGCTCGAGAATGCGACGGACCCCGAGACGGCGTACCTGTACGGCTACCGCACCGGCATCGTCCCTGCGCCGGTCGACCCCGCCGTGAACATCGAGTGGGTCACGCTCGCGCCGCTCACCCAGAACGGTCAGCCCCTCGGGCTGTTCGCGGACCAGGTCTTCAGGATCTTCACCAACGGCGGCTCGACGTCTAGTGATACGGTGCGCGATTTTTTCTCTTGGTTTGGTGTAATGTTGCTGATGCTAATTGCAGTGCGACCCCAACGGTCCCATGGCCTTGGTCAAGACCACGCTCAACTTCTGTGCGTGGAATTACCTCTCTTTCGTGTGCTGATACTTATGAGCTTGAATTTTTAGGGTACTACGGAGGGTACTGGGCTGATCACACCTCGTAGGTTGAAACGGAGGGATGACGGATTCATGGATACTCTCGCGTAAGTTTCGTTTCTAAGTTAAGTTCAAGGACTCTTAGTTTGAGCTGGAGGTAATATGTAGCGGGATGGCTAGCGTATCGTGTTGCACCTTGTTTATTGAGATTCGCCGTCTCTATTTTGATTGTGAATTATTCAAGTCTCGTGTGTCGCATTCAGCGTATAGTCCCCCTGAGGCGCAGTAAGCTAGATCACGTCCGGACGATCGTATGGTCTGTCTACTATTCAACGCACGTAGTCCGGCAAGGCTGCGTCTTTCGCATCCGAGCATGCATTTTGCTTACATTTCTCCGTTGCGCTAACCCTGCACTTGCTCCATGGCGCAATCCACAGCCTACAGGCGGGATCTGGCTCTTATAAGTGCCAGTGATCAAATGCTGTGTCAGTGCGTTCACGCTCTCGTGACCCGTCTCACCAGCACTGCAAAAATACTCTCACGTATATACTAGATTATATGGGAAAAACGAGGCAAGCTTTTGTTCCTTTAAATGAATGAAGCTGCACAAAGATCGCGTCACGGCCGCCGTGGAGAAACTCAATCCAGCGTCTGTCCACTCGGACGGTCGGAAACTTCCGATTCCTGGAGGTTCTCGATTATCAGGGGTCCTGTAATAGGATCGAACACCGAAAGCCTGTTTCCTATTATTCTCAAGCATATTGGCGGCCTTTCATCGCCTCAAAGCTTAAAGTGTTATGTAATTTCCCGCTTCTTTACTGGTTCTAGTCACACTGGTACCGGCGTTATGGTGCCAACGCCTCCAGAAGCACTTCGCAATCTTCAACGCCGTGCGGCGAAGCACCGCTCGGCTGTGAATGGTACAATCTGGAGAGACATCTGGAAGGGTTACAATACTG